TGATATTTTCTATCTACTAATTGGACATCTACTACCAATTGAATCATATTAAATTTTTTTTATTTAATTAGATAAAATTAAAAATAAAAATAAAAATAAAAATTCCTTAAGAACCAAAATAAAGACTAAGGGTTGGTTTGAGATGTCCTAAAAAAGTGTACTTTTTGACTTATTGGTAGGTTTGGGTTGGGTTTGATGTGATGTGTTAGAGAGGTGATGTGATTTAAATAAGATGATGTGACTTAAATAAGATAGTAATTTTTTGACTTTTTAACTTATTTAGTACATGCCAAACTAGCTCTAAATTATTTTAGGGGGTATTCCAATATGGGTGTATGAAACTTCAATAGAGAGATAGAGATAAAAGAGAATGTGATAACAGGATGCTAACGTAGGTCCCAGAGTTGTGGGCTGGGTTGGTGTGGTGGTGGTGGCAGTGTATTAGCAGGGGCCTGTCCCGACTCTCATTTGGGAATCGAATAATAATCACATTCCCATCCCATCTACGGTTGCTATCTTTGGATCCATTGGGGGTGTTTGGTGAGATTTTTGTGAGTTAGTTTATGGCTTCTGACATTTAAAAAGTTATTTTGGATTATTTGGTTAAATTTATTTCAAATAGTTTTTTATTCTAACAACTTATTTTAAGTCAAAAAAATTGATTCTGAGAAGCTGCTCACCCCTTACTTCTGATTATCAATTTCTGCTGTGGACATATTAATTCACGGTTATACTCTTAGATTTTTTTTATTTTTTATTTTTTTAAAAATAGAAAAAGACTCAAATGGACTATAAAATATTATTATTATTTTTTGTGAAAAATGTAGACAAATAATGAATAATAAAAAATAAAAATTAATTGAAAAAGTTACTTCACACCTTATTTAACAAATACTACTCAACAATTTAAATCTATAATCTAATAGTTATATCAAACAGATTAACAGCTTCTGATTAACGTTGTAATCTATAATATGTTAAACTATAATCTATAATCTATTTTAACAGTTACACCAAACAGTACCATTGTACTGTTGCATATTTTACACATTACATGTCTGTCAAGTCTATTTGCAGAGTTGGGATAGCATCTAGTACCTGCTTGCTAAATGATACTTATGAGGTATGCTCATTTTAATTGTAATGTGGTTGGCACGTCTGATTAATGTGTAATTTAAATAAATAAATAAAAATAAAATAAAATAATAATTTTATATTTTGTGTCATTCAAATAGTAAGAATATTTTGTGTCATTCAATGTCTTAAGTCCCAATTTCTTTTCTATCTAATTTTTTTTTTGTTTAAAATCCACTTAGCGTCCCACCCTCTTCTCCATTTAAGTTTTTGCTCTTTGCCTTGAAGACGCCAAGAAAATTGAGTTTTTAGTGTGTTACATAGTGATAAATGTTATATATATATTTTTTTGATAGAAGTTATGATAAATTGTGATTGATACATAAAGTTATGTAATTTTGTAGTAATATTATATATTTTGTGGTATTGTTACACATTTTATGGTTAGAAAATATTTGAATAAAAAAGGTGTAACATTATCACAAAAATCCGTAACACTTTTAGGAAGATAGTAAAAAGTTACTTTTTAACTTTTAACATATTTTGGGTCACATCAACTATCTATTTTTTTATATATTTTTTGAAAAAAGTCAAAAAATTTAAAGAATCAACTTTTAACTAACTTCTCAAAACAAACCAAAATGTATAACTTCATTTTTCAATTACAAATTATCATAACTCTTACCAAAAAAATATGTAACACACTACAAAATCATGTAACAAGATGAGTGTGTATCATAGGATTTCCCATAGTATAGAATTGAGAAATGTAAAAGAATTACAATTTAAGTCTTATAATTTACTCACAATAGTGTTATATAATTGAGTTTATAATGAATTAAAGCGTGACACATAATGTCATTATCAGTACAATTATGAGACTCAAATTGTGACTCTTAATTTCAAATATAATGTGCGTAAATTTAGAAGTAATAAATTAGATGAATTAGTTTATTTTGCCACTCTTATATACGGTTATTTAGGATCCATTTGATTCATTGAAATAACATGAAATGGCCTTTTTTTTACTATGAAGTGACATTTTATTTTTATTGTTTTTTTATCAGCCATACTGAAATTGACATTTTGATGGAATTTCATTCCACTTTATTTTAGTGGCTGGGGGTCACTGTTATGACCTTTCCAGCTGTGGTTCCTGCGGTAAAACGGCAGTATTTCAACTCACTCGTTTTTTTTTTTTTTGCTTTAAATTTTGTTCTCAACAGTGCATCTTTCTTGTGGTGCCGTTTGAAAAATGTAATTTTTTTTCTTTTTCAATTACGCTATGTCACAATGCTGTTTACTTTTTATTTTAATTTTTTTTAAAGTTACCTTTTCAATCTATATTGCTTGTATTTTAAAAAAAATATTTGTTTAATTTCTTTTTTGTTCCCAATTAAAATAATATAAATTTTTAAAAATTATTTTAGAGTTAATTTACTAAACCAAAATAAAAAGGTATACTAACATTTCTTAATATTTAATAGGAATACATAGACACTAAAAGTGTAAATTTGGCCTGGCGTGGCCCGGCTAGGCCTGGCCCACTTGGGCTCAGGCTTGGGTCGGCCCACATTTGGCCACGCGGGCTCCGGCCAAAATTTGACCTGGCCTGGCTCATGGGCTAGAAAATGAGCCTCAGGGAGTATTCGGAGCATGGGCAGGTTGGGCCCATGGGCTTGGGCTTCAAGCCAGGCTTGAACATTCGTTTTTTTATTTTTTCTATTTTTTGACCAAAATTCTATTTTTTCTCACAAAAAATGACACTGGACCTCGAACGGGCCAGATTTCAAAATGATAGCTCGGGCTTAGACCCAAGGTCCCAAGTTGTGCTCGGGCCTGGGCCTAATCAGGTCGGGCCCACCCCAGGCCGTGGACTATTTTTACACTCCTAATAGACACTCCTAACATTTTCAATATATCATAGATACCCCTTAAACATTTGAAATTTATATCAAAAACATTTTCTGACATTTAGGTCTCGTTTGACAAGTGCCCCTTTTAGCCAAAAAGTTAAAAAGTTACTAAAAAATCAAAAAGTCAACAACTCATACCAAAAAGTCAAAGATTCTCTTTTCTCTTTACTTTTTGCACATCTTTTGGTAAAAAGCCAAAAAGTCATCCCAAACATACTAGTCTTTTTTACATCACATTTTAGCCAAAAAGCCAAAAAATTACTAAAAAAATATGTTTCCCAACGAGGCCTTAATTAAATCACAAATACACTTATCATTTATACGAACACTCCCTTAATATTTTGCGAAAAGATCACATACACTTCTTTGAACTTAAATAAATATATGTGATAATATTAATTAAATTATTTATGTTTATTTCTATATATGAATACATATAAAATTGTTTGGATAATTATAAAAAATAAAAAAATCTAAGGGTTTGAGCCTTCTAACAAAATAAGTCCCGAGTTTTTAATTTTATCAAATCAAATAATTTAATTAATATTATCACATATATTTATTTAAGTTCAAAGAAGTGTATGTGATCTTTTCGCAAAATATTAAGGGAGTGCTCGTGTAAATGATAAGTGTATTTGTGATTTAATTAAGGCCTCGTTGGGGAACATATTTTTTTAGTAATTTTTTGGCTTTTTGGCTAAAATGTGATGTAAAAAAGACTAGTATGTTTGGGATGACTTTTTGGCTTTTTACCAAAAGATGTGCAAAAAGTAAAGAGAAAAGAGAATCTTTGACTTTTTGGTATGAGTTGTTGACTTTTTGATTTTTTAGTAACTTTTTAACTTTTTGGCTAAAAGGGGCACTTGTCAAACGAGACCTAAATGTCAGAAAATGTTTTTGATATAAATTTCAAATGTTTAAGGGGTATCTATGATATATTAAAAATGTTAGAGGTGTCCATGTTTTCCTATTAAACGTTAAAAAATGTTAGGATACCCTTTTTATTTTGGTTTAGTAGATTGATTCTAAAATAATAAATAAATAAATTACATTATTTTAATTGGGAACCAAAAAAAATTAAACAATTTTATTTTTTTAAATGCAAGCAATATAGATTGAAAAGATAACTTTTAAAAAAAATTTAAAAAAAAGAAGTAAACAGCATCGTGACTGAGAGGGTAATTTATATATAAATTGGGCTGAGCTGGGTAAAGGGCTATTCTGTGGGCCACGGTAAGAAGGGCTGAGTAAAAAGGCCTTATAATTAGTTTGGTCCAGAAGGGCCTTGCAGATAGTCCGGTCCAAAGGAGCTTGGTGGTTAGCTCGGTCACCACGGTCGGCACGGTAACAAATAATATCTAAATATTATAGGAAAAAAATAGAAAAATTATTGGAGAGTATAAAGTGTATAACAAAGTCACTTTTCTAATGATTTTTATTTATTTATTTTGTATACCATTTAATATTATACGACAGATAGTATTCTAAATTTGTTACTTGTTACCATAATTTCAAAGGTGAAAAAAATACTTACCACAAACTCTAATTTATGGGCAAGTGATATCAAGCTTTAGTTTGGTTTAATGCTTTAATTATAAGTTGGATTTGGATCAAGTCACAATTAGTTCAGACTGAATTTTTTGACACAGAGTTAAAAGAGGGAAAATATAGTACCCCATTAGATGAACTTGGCAGTTCCATGTTAAAAAACATTAAAAACAAAGATTTTGGAAAGAGAAAGAAATATGAAAAAAGTAAATATAAGTTAATTTTTTTTTGATCATTTTCCTCTCATTTTCATTTCGTTTTTCAAATCTCTATTTAAATTCATAATTCAACTACAATTTAAACATTCTACTAATAAAAAAAAAAAAAAAATTGGATTATTGAAAGTAACTTGATTAGAAAGAATTGCTCATATTCAAAATTTTCATGGTTGGCATGGAAAATCAATGTATGCATGGACTGAAATTTGCATGGAGTAATGAAATGAATTGGTAGGTGACAAACACTAAGAACCAAGACATTGTGATTCATAAGAATCCTGGTCAAGAAGTTCTCCATTTACTAATGTAAATATCAATGAAATTTATTAGCCGAGTCTCTTCTTAGAGAGCGATTACTCTAGAATGATTTTGTCCCCAACCCTACGAACAAGAAATTTGTAATCTTTACAAACATAGCATATCGCTTTGCGTGTATGGGAATTTTTGTGTAACGTTCCTTTACAACAATCATTTTGGGAATTTCTGGTGGAGACCAATCAGTTCTGAGACTACACAAAGAAGCTCCATCACATACCTTCAATGGGCCTACTTGCTTTGATTGTATGACTTCAAATAATGCACTAGTCCGTCATGTGTCAAAATTTGAAGTTGTCCTTCAAGTAACATACCACCTCTTGCTGCAACAGTTGAAGAAGAAAAAGAATAAGAAATCTCGCTCATTAAGACTGAAGGTGACATTACAGAATAGTGACCGACATGTCCTTGAGAGAAATCTCTTTTACACATAACGCCTCATCTTCTAGAAAACTAAGCCTGTTCAGTTGTATTTTGTGTTGGTTGACAACAGTTTCTGTAGATTGTTGAATAAACGCATAATCCAGACCAAGTTTATATAACTTTGTTTTAAAAATCCATTTGAAATTTTAGAATAGGTCGTTCCTCTATTAAGTTGCTTCTAAATAGCTAGAAAAAAAATTATATACTCGTATGTTATGTGGACTTCCATAAATTAAAGAAGTATCCATGTTGGACACTAATGAGGGTATCGGATGTGCTCAGAATGTCTAGTTAGACTTGCACCTAACAAACATGTTTTAGTAATAATCAGGGACGAAGCCACAATTTTTATTAAAGAGCGCTGTGGTAAGTGTAGTAAAAATAAAAAAAAGTCACAAAAATCGATAAATCTATGCCAATCATTTCTTAATAATTCAGAGGGGTAGTAGACCAATTTAGAACATTATGTTAGTAGTATTGTTTACAATGATATGAGGGCTAGAGAGAGTATAAGAACTCACAATTAAACAGAGGAGAATGCATCCCGCAGCACCAGGAAAGAAAGCATACCAAAAATTCAAGTGGTGCAATTTTGCTCCATCAATGAATAGCAAGGGCAAGCTTGCAGCTACATATTGATGTCGTAATTTTCATTTTAGTTCTAAATTATGAAATGGGCATTGTCAGATAACTCTGAAAAGGATTGGAGGGAGAGCTATTAGTGGGGTGGTTACCTGGTGGATGAATGGCACGTGTGTAGATCATGAAAGCTATGGCTGCAGCGAGGCCAGTGCTCCTAGCTAGCCAACCTGGTCCAAATATTGAAAATGCCAAAACACCAAATGCTGCAGAACCTATTTGAGCAATAAACATATTGTACTTCTGCAAAAATGGAACAGGGAAGTTAGTGTAGTTAAATGTGAATTCATCTCAAGAAAACAAAATATTGGTGTGACCAAACAAGCATTTAAGGCCTAGGCAGTTGAACAAGCTTTTATGCTTCATCATTGATGAAATAAATGGTGTTTGAATGCCTAATGTATACCCTTGTATGTGGTAGATAAATTAGATTGAAGAATGTTTTCTTGTTGAATGTTGTTTAATATGTGAGAAGAATATTGAAAAATCTAGAAATCCCCTAGATGTTGATTTGTGATTATATATCAATTTTAAGCAGAATGTAACAATCCCAATCAAACAATCAAGACAAAGAGACACAACGATTTTAACGTGGAAAAAACCACAATTGGACACCTCCAACTGTGATTAAAAAACCACGGGCAACAGCCACAAAACAATCCACTAAGAAGATTTAAAGGAATTACACAGGTATACTCTCAATTACCTAGCGAATCCACGCCTAATTGAACCAACCTCTATGTGCCTCTTCCAACCCGTCTTCACCTCGGAATTGTCTTTACGATGAGCCACCCCGGAATCCACCAAAGCTTCAGGCTTGAATTTTTCAGAATCCACCGAAGAACAACTCTCTTTTTTGTAGAACAAACAAACCTTTGATGTATACTCTTTAAAACATGAATTGAATACTCAATCAAAACATCAAAGAAAACTCACAAAGTATCCCCAGATATAAACCCTAAAACCCAAAAAGAAGATCTGGAGTCGTTATCCTAAAATCTGACCCAACACGCGAATTTATAGAATCTGTCCTACGATCTCCGCTCGGGCGCCCAACAGCCCGCTCGAGCGTCTTCAGCAAAATATGCGCGTGATATAACAGAGGTCCGCTCGAGCGCTAGAGAACCCGCTCGAGCGCGAAATCACACATCTCAGTACTTTTGCAGGCGACCAAAACTGCTGGAACTAGGGATTCTCCGCTCGAGCGGGGTAATGTCCGCTCGAGCGGACAGGCAACTTGGAATGCATTTTTGCATTTTGCTTCGGGGGCGCTGCCCCGGACCCGCCAAGGGGGCGCGGCCCCCTGGACCCTCGCGAACTGACCGGGCAGCTCGATCTCCGTCATAATCAGCGAAGTGGCAATCTTGAAAGTATTAGTATCACAAACTTCTCTGAAAGACACAATTCGGGTTGGATTCGCATCTAAACACTCATAGCTTCACTGAAATAAAAAGTGGAAAATAAATACAACTGAAAGGAGTTTTGTCAAACGGGATTGCCAAGAATAAAACCTAACAATTACCTTTGCTAGAGAGATCGGAATCTCTTTGGTCCATTAAACTAGACTATCTAGTTGGGCCAAACTTTAGTAATCCAATTAGTTCATTTTGTATATCCTTATGTGTCTACGAAAAATATTAAATTGATCTGATAATTATAATCATATTTTTTTTTCTTTATATTTTTCTTCAAAAATATGGACAATAAAAATGATTTTGAAATTAAATTGTCTATTTTGTAAAAAACACATTTAGCAAAATTGTTGTTTAATATGTGAGAAGAATATTCTGCCATAGGTTACACCTACCAGCATGTTTTAAGAAGGAAATCATATATAAACAAATTTTGGAGAAAGTAATTTTTTCCTCTTTTGTTTTTTTGGGTTATTAAGCAAACAAACATATGGAACTTAATGTGGTTCTACAAATACCAAGACAAACACATAATCATGCTCAGAAACACTAGAGATATGTTACATGGACTATTCTAAATTTGTAGAATACCTGTATCATAGTCATAAACAGTTGAGTAAGTGTATGAGATGTGTCAGATATCTCTAGTTAGAGATGCACCCAAAAAGTATGTGTAAGTAGTTGAATTTACTATATAACTATGCATAAGGCATTGATTTCATACGTAAAATGTTATATTTTAGTTTGTAAACATCATTGTACTCTTCAAAAATAAAATATAAGTATTTGAGAAATATGATATATAGCCGTGTCCTAGTATCTTTGACATGAGAATTTGTTAGAATTTACCATCACCTACCACACACTTACCATCACCTACCACACACTCACCTACTACACTCAAATCAAATAAAATAAAATAAAATTCCACAATCCATTCACCATCTCGGTCCGATCACATTTTTTACACTAGGATCAACCCCGATCCCATTTTTACAGCAAAAAAAAAAAAAAAAAAAAAAAAAAAAAAAAAAAAAAAAAAAAAAAAAAAAAATTCCACAAAAATCTAATCATCGCCAACACCCCTTTGCTTGTTGCTGTCTATGTAGGCTAAATAGTACAAAAAGCAATGCTCTCTTGCAAGTTGGCCAACTATGGAACTGCTTTCTGATGCTGAAAGATAATTGAAAACCTTATAATCCAGTTATCCACCAAGGTTCCCTCCAGTAACTAGGGAAGGAAACCTTGAATTCAAATGGAAAAAAACGAAAAAAAAAAAAAAAAGAACTGTAATTTGAGTCCACAAGGAAAAAAATCAATAAATTTATTACTGGCCGTTTCCTTGTGCAAATTGAAAGATTTCATTTGCGTTGGAGCAGAGCCAGCTGGGAGGTTAACTGCTGCACCTCATTTGTCCTACTCTGCAGCCGGTTCGACAGGTTTGTGACCGCCGTCATGGTTTCCACACATGACTTCAGTGTATACTGATTGGCCTCCACATCCGACTGTACTGCCATTCTTTGCTCCACCGACCGCATCGGAAAGTTCAGCGGAGCAAACACAGAGGTGTTTGGTTGAGGTTCACTGGCCACTACACCAGTTATTTCTCTTGTGGACTCGTTCAGTTCTGGAAAGAGCGTGAGCAGACCACGGGAAGAGGAGGCCATGTTTTGGGTAGCTGGACGGGAAGAAGAGGCCATGTTGCTGAAGTGTTTCAGAGACGGGTTGGTAACAGAGTGTTACAGAGTGTCTCTCTCAGAAATCTCTCTCAGAAAACGAAGAGTTTTTCAGAGTTTTTCTAGCAGGTTTTTTGTCTCTGCTTCCAAGCCTCAGCCTCAGTTTATAAAGACCCTGACGAAGAGGCAGACACGCGTATCGCGCGCCACTTGACGCCAGACGACAAACGGGCGCGCCAGCCAAGGCACTCACGTGCTTCGCCATCATATCTGGCACACCTTTTTATGGATTGGTCACGTCTTTTGATGGCACGTCTTTTTATGGATTGGGCACGCCTTTTGATGGCACGCCTTTTGACAAAATTGGGCACACCTTTTGAGGGTGCACTTTTCAAGGGTCCGACAAGACTCTATAAACTGTCCCGACATTGATTCCGGTTAGCTCCTTTATGGGTCCGACAAGACTCTGTAAACTGTCCCGACATAGATTCCGGTTAGTTTCTACAAGGGTCCAGCAAGACTCCGTAAACTGTCACAACAACTGTCACAACATTGTCTGCTACAACGGTCCGACATGACCCCATAAACTGTCTTCTACAACGGTCCGACACGACCCCATAAACTGTCTTCTACAACGGTCCGACACCACCATCCAGTGTCCTCTACACCGTTATGACACCACCATACAGTATAGTGGGGTGTTTGGCTATTATACTGGGCGGTCCTGGGTTCTGAGTCTTTCCTCTTGTCTCTGGGGGTCGGATTTTTAGTGATCGGCTCTTGCCGAGCGGCCAGGGAATCTTCAGCATTCATGTATTTCTGGGCTTTGGATAGTAGGGCTGCCATGGTGGTTGGAGATGTATTTTCTTGTTTATTTTTATGTATTTTCTTGTTTTGTTCCTCTCTTCAAACTCAAGTTGGTTAGTTTCTATCCTCCTTGAGTTTGCGGGGGGCTGTTAGAATTTACCATCACCTACCACACACTTACCATCACCTACCACACACTCACCTACTACACTCACCTACTCCTCACCTACCACCACCTAACCTACATCTATATCAATCATCAACAAATCAATCAATAATACATATATTTTTACAGAATTAGATGAATCCAACAGTTAGGCACATACCCACACCGAATACCCATAAGAAAGTCCATGTAACATAGAGGTGATTGGCGGACAAAATTCATGTCATTACCCAATAGGAAAAGTATATTGGAGTGACATTGGACAAGGATGACAAGGTGTTGGAAGCAATGCCTTTCGTCCACAAATCAAAAAGAAAAAAGAAAAAAGAAAAAAAAAGCAACATGATTGCTTGATGACCCGTTCTTATAAAAAAAAAAGATAGCGCAGCAATTCTCCATAGGTTTATCATTGGTAGCTTGTGTATTTAGTTGAAGAAATAACACACATACAATTCTTCTGTATAAACACTAAACAAGGCACAGCCCAGTGATCTGTGATGAAATGTCTCAAGCCCATTCCACACAGCCAGACTCTTAAGATGAAAAGCAAGTGCCAAAATCAATTACTTTTGTGCCAAAATGGTGACAATATATACATATATATACCTACACTACTTCCTACAAGGCTTTTGTTTTTGTCATAAATATTTTCTACTGGCATTGGTCATCATATCCAACTAATATATCGAGTGAGAATCTTTCTCTACTTTCATCTCAAAGATATCATAGAGAAGTGGTAGTTTCTTTAATTGTTCTTCCACTAGCATGATGCAAGGCATCTTGGTATACGAGCACTTTGAAGGGTGTAATGGAGCAAACTGTTATACTTGTTTAAACCAATTTCCACAAAAATCTAATCATCGCCAACACCCCTTTGCTTGTTGCTGTCTATGTAGGCTAAATAGTACAAAAAGCAATGCTCTCTTGCAAGATGGCCAACTATGGAACTGCCTTATGATGCTGAAAGATAGTTGAAAACCTTATAATCCAGTCATCCACCAAGGTTCCCTCCGGTAACTAGGGAAGGAAACCTTGAATTCAAATGGAAGATAAAAAGAAGGGGAAAAAAAAAAAAACCAAAAAGAACTGTAATGCGAGTCCACAAGGAAAAAAATCAATAAATTTATCACTGGCTGTTTCCTTGTGCAAATTGAAAGATTTCATTTTAAATATCTTATTTTTAGATTTTACATTTTATGTTTTGCAAGAAATAGAGAAAATTAAAAAGTCCCATTCAAAAATTAAATTTACAGATTTTTTGAGTTTTTCATTTTCACAATAAAAACCAAATTATCTAATTTTTGATCGAGCCAATTCTACAAAAGGCCCAATTTACATTTATTGGACAACTAAACTGGACCTCAATCAATAAAATTAACAGAGTTTGTGCATTAACACCCAATACATGCACACCCAAAATCCGACTGGCCCTGATAACCTTCAAAGAGAGAAAATATGAAAAGGTAATTTAAAATTACCGTAAACCCAACTACTAACTAATAATCATGGAATTAAGTTTTCCCAAAAATGTTCAATTTATTTTATTTTTCTCTTTTCTTGGTCTGATGAAGATGGGTTGCAATAATGGGGATAGCTTTACCATCCACCACATTGCCATAGGTCATCGCTTAATTTGCAAAAGATTCAAAGAAAATAATGATGAGGGTCAAAAAAATAAGTTATTTCTAGTTTGCAAGCAATTTTTGATCTAGAAGTTACCCTCCAAGACAAAAAATTCTAGAAGGTAACCCCCCCAAGACAAAAACTTCTAAGAGAATTTTTTGAATGTTAGTTCATTATACAAAATTAGAAGAAAAAAAAAAAAAAAAAAAACACCATTTGCATCAATTGGGCACAAGGTGAATTCTTTTTATGTGTTTAGCATTACAAAGACATATGGTGAGAAGCTTTCTTCATTAGAAAGGATTGGACTAGCATGCTTTGTTAAGTAAATTTTACAAGCCATGAATGTGTAAAGCCCTATTAGTAAACATATTAGAATTTATTTTTTCATTTTACTTGCACCCACATATAAGCTCCCACACACATACACACACACACACACACAACAGAGAAAATAAATAAGGGTACAGAGTTAGGTAGAGAAACTTTAGTTGACAGAAAATCCATCTAGGAGAATAAGTTGGAAGGCTATTGACTAAAACTCTATCCCTAATGAGCAAAGGCACAGTGGCTGACCTAAACAAGCGGTAATTAGAACATACTTTCTTAAATAAATAATTTAAGCGCAGATATATGTATATATATATATATAATATCACATCTTGTAGGGATGTCGATGATGTAGAAGGAAGGAATTATAAGACCAATTGAGAAGAAGTGACTGAGGAATGGTGATTCAAACGAGTTCTAACTACCAGCATGAAATGATAAGTAGATATGCTTACATACTTATCAAAAAGAAAAAACTAGATATTCTACAATCAACCAGGAGGACAAATTTCTATTTTCTCTCGTAGTAATTGTTCAAATGAGGGAATTGAAGTATTAGGGTGAAAGATAAATATACAATATAATAGAAGAAAAAATCATGGTTCATTATTAACTTTCTTACTTGGTTAATATGTTTAGAGAGATGGAGCTTGAACTGAAGTTATGTGAGTTAATAATATAAAAGGTTCGTTATATTTAATGTTTTGATTTTGAGTTAGTTCCATTTATCCAATACCTTAACCATAAAACAAGTCAAGATCAATCAGTTTTGTAAAAACATACAGATGAAAATGATTCAATTACAAACCAAGAATTCGATAGAAGAGATACATGGAAAAATAATTTAATCACAAGGAGATATGTACTCATTCTATCTACTGTTTAGAAGACTTTCTACGTTACCCCATTAACAGAGGGTTTTGTTTGGCATGCTTAGCTACTCTTATGGTTTTCAATGTCAAACAGTTATATAGAGAGGGGATGATTATTGCCAGACATAACATATATATGACTTATTTCTCATTGTTGAAATTATAGATGCAAATAAAAAAATAAAATGTTAAATACAGTTGCCCCTAAATATACTTCGAGATGAATAAACAGGATCCTTCTTCTATTCCTTTTAACCAAAGTGGACAGTGAGAAGTTTGTTAGAGACATTTGTCATCGGCCCAAAAGGCAATATGTAGAAACACAAGGGCAAATTACACCTGTAGTATGTTTAGTTTTCTTTTATATCAATTTGCTCCTTATAATTCTAATTTCATCAATTTTATCTTCTTTTTTTTTTTTTTTTTCTTTTTTTTGTGTGTGTTGTCAAGATAGTCCAATTGATAACGCCAATCTGGTGTGAGCTACCAATCACTACTGCAACTGGTGCCTTCTAACGTCACTTTAGGTCTTGCAACGGTTCGGCCTTGGTGGCGGTTCAACTCTGGCACACGCTCTGCACGTGTAGCTTCGTCAGGACACATGGTGATGGAGCATTGGGGGACAACAGTAGTGCACCGTTCAGTCCAAAATGACGTGACATGTACCGTCATGTCTATTGAGTGTATTAAAAACCTAGTAATGCTATTTGGTCTAAAAAATGTTGGGGCCACATGCCAGTGGATTCGATACCTTGCAATGAGATGGGTGTGTTGTACATATAGATGACTTGACTTGTTCTCCAAGATGAGGGTGAGGGAACTTGGGTGCCTCTTGGTGCTCTCTATCATAACTCAAGGAGAGGACTAACTTCCCCCATTACCGTCGTGCATAGTTGCACAAAGTCTCTTTCTTTTCCCTTTGGAGACTGAATAGAGTATCCAGTTCCTTTGGAATCTTGTTGTTTGAGACGAACCGAGCCGGAAAACCTTCTGAAAGTTGCTTCCAATCGTGGAATGATAGCTTCCATCCCATAAGTTAGAGAATCCCCGGTTGTGCGCCGAGCCATGGTTCGGTAGGCTAGGCAAAATAATTCATGGTTGAGGAGCTAGCGTCTAGGGGCGGAGCCACCTTAGGACGAGGGGTCATGTGCCCCTAAGGTTTGGATAATTATACTACTACCCCTATTTATAAAGATTATATATTGCTTATCCTTAATAAAATTGTAATAGTGCCCCTCTTTAAATCATGTAAAATTGTAATAGTGCCCCTTCTAAAATTGTAACAGGATGCTTATTCTATTCCCTTTAATTTTGTGCCAAAGTGGACAGTAAGAATGTTGTTAGAGACATTTGTGGCCCAAAAGGAAATATGTAGAAACCAAACAACAAATTACACATGTCACGGCCTTGGTTGTTTCCATGCTAAGTCAACCTTTAAATCCATGATAAGTCAGCCTTTAATCCTTTAGTGCACCCTTGGTTATTTCCATGCTAAGTTAGCCTTTAACTCTTTAGTGCACAAGAGAGAGCTAGCACACACAAGATAGTTGAGAGAATGCTTGCGTATTCACTATAGATGTGAGGCAAATGAGCCTTCACTCCTTATATAGGCAACCTAGCCTTACTACGAACATTCTAGAGTCCTTATTAATTAGGGTGTGTAGAAGCTTCATGGAGGCTTCTACCACCTTACAAGACTATTCTAGATCCTCCTCTAGAACTATCTATGTACATACTAGAATCATGTACAACCTTCCCACATTCTCTAAAGTCTTCCAGGAGCTTCCGGAATCTTCCATTAGCCTTCCTTCCTCGATCCATCCTCTTGGTATGTAATTTTATCTAGGTAGTTTGGCAGGACGTGACATGTAGTATCTGCAGTTTGTCAAGTGTTTTTTAAGGCGAAAAGCGAACCGAGGCGACAAGGTCACCTAACGCCTAAGCGCGAGGCGAGGGCTTCATCGAAGCGAGGCGACCAGAACTGATATTTTTTTAAAATAAATGGTACAGACAAAAATATAAATATTTTCAAGAACCATCATGCAGTTATCATTCCAAATACTAAATATCCATAAACAAAAGAAAATATCCAACAAAGACAAATACAATCCACCAATCCAAAAGTTCTAAAAATCATCTTCAACATCAAGCAAATGAACTTCTTCTTCATTATCATTGGCTTCAGCATATCCCTCTACATCTTCTTCCTCTCCCCCATCTGAAATTGACTCTTCCTTATCAATAAGTTGCAATCTAGGTCTAGCTGCTGATTTTGAAGTTGAACAACCCCTTTCTATTGCCCTTGTTGATCTAGTTCTTTGACTACTTTCCTCAACTCCAGCAGCTCTAGCAACATCATCCCATGTCAAAGTATCATCCTCAAAGACAAGTTCCTCCTCCATCCTCCCAACCAACCACTCATTACTTTCATCAATATCCGTCAAAGCAATGGGATCAATAGTGTCACGGGAATTGTATCGACGTCTCAATGCTCTATTATACTTAACAAATACCAAATCATTCAGATGTTTTTGAGCTAACCTATTTCTCTTTTTGGTGTGAATCTGCAAAAATTCAAACCAAATAAAAATATTCAAATTTTTGTCTAGGTATTAATAAATTTATAGGTATTCATATTCACTATAGTTAAAAATAGGTACTCACATGTTCAGACACACTCCAATTCCGCTCACATCCAGATGAGCTACAAGTTAGACTAAGAATTTTGAAGGCGAATGTTTGCAAATTTGGTGTTTCAGAACCATATGCACTCCACCAATCAGCTGTTGATTATAACTAATTAATTAGAAAGAATATTTAAAATATAAAAAACTAACTCAAATTACTTAAGTATAAAATATAGATCACCTGGTGCCCTTGTAGTTCTTTGTCTAATGACCAAAGCCATCCCAAAGAGACCATCAGCTTTCTTATAGGTAGTCAACTCTGCGCAAACTTTATCTTGTGTCTCATTGCTTGGGACCAACCTTTGTATGCATTTATACAAGCCTGACATGACTTCCTTATCTTTCTCAATATTTGGATTTGCGTAAAAATACTCTGGGTTTAAATAATACCCAGCTACATGCAAAGGCCTATGCAATTGAACATTCCATCTATTGTCAATTATTTCAAAAAACTCCTGGTACTTCTCTTCATTTCCATTAAATGATTTTGCAATGGTTTCTTTAGCCCTATCCATTGCCTCATAAATATATCCCATGGGAGGCTTTCTCTCACCATCAACCAATCGCAGTACACGAACAAGAGGACTTGATATTTTGAGAGCATAAAGACCATTGTTCCAAAAAGAAGGCATTAATATGACTTGTGCGGTCTGTGGTTCCTTCGCCCATTTGCTTGTGGTCCATTCCTCTGAAGTGAACATCTTCTTCAAGTTGGTTTGTTGTTGATGAATCCTTGATAAAGTTAGAAAAGCAGTTGCAAATCGAGCTTTTGCTGGCTTGATCAAATCCTTGCACTGGGTAAATTGCCTCATCATATTCAACAAACCAGAGCAGTTCACAATATAACCATGCACCGCAATTGCCTTTTCAAATGTCTTGTTGAAGTTGGGAATTTTGAAAATGTCCTCCAACATCAAGTCCAAGCAATGAGCTGCACATGGTGTCCAATACAAATGTGGCCGCTTTGCCTCCAAAAACTTCCCTATTACAAGTTTTTTTTTTTTAAAAAAAGAATAATATGAGAATTGCATATTCATATTGTAAGTAAGTACTAAGTAAATGTATACTACTAAGTTACTAACCGGCCAACACATTTGCTGAGGCACTATTTGTAACAACTTGAACCACGTTGGCTTCACCAATACGCTCCACAAAGTTGTCAAGCAATTCAAACATCTTATTTGCATCCTTGGATAAGCTAGAAGCATCAACGGATTCAATAAACATTGATCCTCTTGGGCAATTAACCAAAAAATTAATTAATGCTCTGTTTCTTTTGTCCTTCCACCCATCGGCCATTAAAGAGCATCCATATGTTACCCAATCTTTTTTATGATCCTCTATGGTCTTATTAGTGTGGTCTACCTCTTTCTGCAAATAAGGAACCCGCACCTCATGGTAGCTTGGTTGCTTCATGCCAGGACCATATTGCCCAAAAGCTTCAACCATTGGCCCAAAACTATTGTAGTTCACAACATTGAAAGGTATACTCGTATCATAAATCCACCTCGAAAACCAAACAAGAGCCCGATCTCTCAACACCTTCTTACTAGGATCATTATCATCAATTCTTGTTTGCTTTCCCTTGGCTTTACGATTTTGCACCGCAACTTCCGGATCAGGGGTGAAGTACACATCCATGGGTCCCTTTTGCTTTGGTTGTTTGGAACCAATAGATTTGGAGGAGTTACTTCCTTGTTCTCGACGGATAGAACCTTGAGTAGAAACAGGCCTTTTACCATGTTGATTTATCTCAAGAATTTCATCATCATCATCGTCATCATTATCCATCTCATCAAAATCAGGAACCATCCTCAATTGCACCTTTGATTGACTTTTTTGAGACATATAGTCTTTAATTTCATCTTTGACATGAGATGGACATTTTTTACAAGCAACAACAATTTTATAACCACCAGCAAGATGTTGCTTGACTCGGTAAACACCGCCATTCATTTCTTTGTCGCAAAAGTTACAAATGAATTTTGAAAGGTTTTGAGGATTTACTATCCGTGCATATTGCCATGCCGGATCTTTTTTACTTTCACTCGACTTCGACATTAATTCTATCCAACAAGCAATTCAATGTTTCAGCATAAAGAAATTACAGAACATATTTTAACAACTTTAAAGAACATAAAGAAATTAAAATAGTTGAAATTAATTGAATTAAAATAATTAATTGAATAACCAGGAAATTAAAATAACCAGGAAATTAATTGAATTAAAATAAACAAATTAATTGAATAACTAGGAAATTAAAATAATTAGGAAATTAATTGAATTAAAATAAACAAATTAATTGAATTAAAATAATTAATTGAATAACCAGGAAATTAAAATAACCAGGAAATTAATTGAATTAAAATAAACAAATTAATTGAATTAATTGAATTAAAAAAATTAATTGAATTAAAATAATTAATTGAATAACTAGGAAATTAAAATAATCAGGAAATTAATTGAACACAGAAGAAAAAAAAAAATTGAATTAATTGAAAAAAAATTAATTTTAAAATAATTGAATTAATTTAAAAAATTAATTTTTGCAAATAAAAAATTAATTTTTGAGAATTAAAAATTAATTTAAAAAAAAAATTGATTCGAACAAAGAACAAAATTAACCACGAAAAATTGAATTAATTAAATGAAGAAGCAAGTTGAAGTCGAAGTCGACAGTGTTCTTCTTCAAGTCGAAGTCGAACAAAGAAGCACAACAGGTGAAGTCGAACAAGAAGAACAGGGTGAAGTCGAACAGGTGAAGTCGAACAAAGAAAGGAAGAAAGGAACTCACCTCGATTCGATTCGACTTCGGCAGACGCAGACGATCGACGAACCAGATGAAGAAGAAAAGACCAGAAGAAGAGATTCAACTTCGGCAAGTCGATCTAGGGTTTGGCTTCTTATTTACTAATTAACTCTGTCGATCAAGGGCCCAGATGATTCAAACGAAGTCGAATCAAGGGCCCAGATGACTCCAACTTAAGTCAGGCAAAATACGATGAAGCGTGGCTTCTTTCCGCCTCACGCTTCATCGCCTAAGCCTCGCTTCAGGCGCTTCTACATCGCCTCGCCATTTCGCCTCACCTCAGGACACATGAATCGCTGAAGCCTCGCCTCGCCTCGCTTAGCGCTTAGGCGAGCGCTTAGGCTCGCCTCTGATAACACTGAGTTTGTCTCTTATATCATTTTGCTCCTTATAATTCTATTCATCAATTTTATACCTTTTTTTTCCCCCTGTGTGTGTGTGTGTTGTCAATGTAGTCTAATTGATAATGCATATAGAAATTGAACTAAAATCACAGGGCAAAATAATTCATTCATTGGTTGAGGAGCTGGCGTCTAGGGGCAGAGTCACCTTAGGACGAGGGGGTCACATGTTCCCTAAAGTTCGGATTATACTACTACCTCTACTTGTAAAGATTATATATTGTTTATCCTTAATAAAATTGTAATAGTGGCCCTCCTTAAATCATGTAAAATTATGTATTTTTAAAATTTTTAAAATGTTTTATTCTATTCTTTGGTCATTCTTGTACACTCTTCTTAACTAATATGTCAAGGCAAAAATTGAATCAATTGATAATTTATTTTCAATTATGGAGTTTGTTTAGTTTTTTATTTTTCCATTGTGGTACTCTTTGTTAAGTTGATAGCGTTGGAATTATTGATTGTAAATTCCATTGTTTGTTTGTCCCTATTATTGGGTTAATAGAATTTAGTTGTTAATTGTGAATTTATTAGTCACGTCACGTTAATGTAAATCTCATGATAATTGTAATATTATTTCTCACTGATTGACAAAAAAATAAAATAAAATAAATATATAAGTTTAATAATATCTCGTTACTACTTGTTATGGGGAGAAAAAAAATTTAATCATGTGATTAATGTGTGCCCCTCTACGTTGAATTTCTGGTTCAGTCACTATTGGCGTCTAATTTGAAATAGAGGGCTGTTAAATGCCCCTACCTTTCTATTTTGGATCCCTCATTTTTTATATTTTATTTATCACAATTTTGTCCTAACATCAAATTACAATTTTGTCCTTATCCTGTCCTTCCAAGTCTAACCCTAACCCTAACCCTAACCCTAATCCCACCATCACTTCCACTCCCACCGGCAATCTCCAGCAAACAAACCACCTCTATTATTTTCCTCCTTCGACGAGCCTCTTGCTGCCACATGTTGTTCATAGAACTATCATGAACTCTCTTTTGGTGGCGGAAAAGGAGCGATATATTCACGAACTCTTTTTCGCGATCTTCATCTTCATCCTTTGGAACTTAATCTCTTCTCTCTTTTGTGCGCGATTCTCTCTCTCCCCGTCGATTTCTCTCTCCCCATCGATTTCTCTCTTTACCTCACAAGTTGGTCGATTTCTCTTCGTTTGGTTACACAGCGCCGAACATGTTGAATATGTTCGGTTCTCCACAACCAAACATATGCATTTTGTTCAGCTACATAGTACTGAACATCAGGCTTTTGTTCGGAATTGGTTTTCCAAACGGCGGCAAGAGTGGTTGCGAAGGCAAAAAGATGGGTTTTCAGAACTGGTTATTCATCCTTCATCTTCAGCAACATCAATGTGATTCTCTACAATGGAGGAATCACCCTTCGAACTTGGGCTCATTACACTTCCAACGTTGTTACATTCCTTGACACATAGTTCGCATCTATCTGATACTCTGAGAAAATAGAGGGTTGCTCTATTGTTGCTGCCGTTATCTGAGTAGCTTGCTGGAGAGGGAGGGAGGGTCACCTGAGTGGGAGGGACTGCAGGAGGAGGGAAGGATGAGTTGAAGGTGGAAGGTGTAGGGGTGGGGTTCAAAGGGTGTATTGGAGATTATGGTAGGGATCTAAAGAAAAATAAAGAGGGAAGCAATTTTGGTGGTAGGGGGCTAAAGAAGTGGGAGGTCCAAAGTAGAAAGATAGGGGCATATAGCAGCCCTCTTTGAAATAATCCCCATTCTCTTTAATGGACAATTTTGTCCTTAACTTCAATCTAATTTTTTTAAGGCACCTTATCAATTGGACTACATTGATGAAAATTTGAATAGCAAAATTAATAATTTTAAAACTACATCAATCAAATTGATACAAGAGGCAAATTGTATAAAGGACCAGTAAAATTTTCCGTAAATCAATGGAGAGAGAGAGAGAGTACCCGAGCAGCAGGGGAGGAGGGAGTGGCAAAGAGGACAGCACAAACAGCTCCGAAGGGTGCAATTGTCATTGAAACTCCTTTTCTTGCCAACATCTGGTCCATCTTCCCCAATACCGCCATTGACGCAAATGCCCCTGGTTATTTTCCAATCAAAGACTCATATATCAATATATATACACACACACAATGATACATATCAAAATTCAATTGAGATTTCTATCTCTCTCTCTCTCTCTCTCTATCTATCTCTCTCTCTCTCTAACCTGCAGCAGGCCAAACAACATCGCTGAGGGAAGGAGCTTCGGAACCCTTCTGAGGTTTCCAATCATCCCAGCTGATTGGTGCATCTGCGTTGTTGCTTGATGCTGCAACAATTCTCGATCCAACTCGTTTCCTCCTCCAATTGCCCTTGGCTCTTCCATTAACAGAACTCGAACCAAGACCACTGTACAGACGAAATGTCTTGTTTATTGTGCTTCTGCTCTTGTCATCAGCAATTTGGGAGCTAGAACTTAACAGTGAAATTGAAATTGAAATTGTAGAAGAACTTGCATACAACAATGATGATAATGATGGTACCATGAGGCGATTATGATGATAATAACATGTGCGGAGCTGAATACCCATATTTCTAAGATGCTCCAGTGCTTTCTCGTATGTATTCTCAGTGAATGAGTACTAAATCAATATATGAGAGAGAGGGAGAGAGAGAGAGAGACCGTTGGCAAATTATAAAAATTGGGGTGATTGGGGCGGGAGGGGGTTGGCTCTTCGGGAGATCCAAAGGCCATATTATTGTCCCTTTATAATTTTTTATTTGTTTGAGTAAATTGTAATAAATCTCTTAGGTCATATTTATTTGCATTTTCTTCCTTAAATTTCAAAAGTCAACTCAACAATTAATCTCTCTAAAATATCATCTTGTTACAGTGAATATTTACATGAAATCAAACAATGTGTAATGCATATTGAACTTTTAATATGCAATTTTTCATTAAGATAAGGGAAATAGTACAAATAAGATTACTAGATTACGATATTATTATTTAAAAAAAATCAATAACTGCTATTATTGTCCTAAAATATTAATAGCACATGACCTGACTGTAATGAATCCTTAACAAAATCATAACGAAAAATATTATGGCCCACTTTGGCAACAAAAAAACAGTTACCTCTTTTTTTAATGTTTTTTGTCTTTAGTAATTTTTTTTTAAAAATTATGACAATTTTCTTTTTTCAAGTCCGTGTTGTCAAGACGAATCTAAAAAGTATATTTTTTGGAAAAATTCTAAAAAAAAAATACTAAAGACGAAAATAAACTAAAAAAAAATTGTTTATTTGGTTTATTTTTGTATTTTCTGAATTTTTTTGGATTTTTTAAAAAAATATTATAATTTTTATGTTCATCTTGTCGAGTTAAATTTAGAAACCTAAAAATTTAAAAAAAGTTTAGTAAAGACAAAAATAAGCCACAAAAATAATCAACAATGATTTATCCCCCATTTTCCCCCCAACCCCTTTGACCCCCTCTCTCTCTCATTGGTTACATTTTCTTTTTCTTTTTCTTTTTTTTCCTGCTCCTCCAATCATCACCCGCCACGTGGCAAGGGGGGTGAGGGGGTGACCCCCAAAAGGGGGTCCCAAGCATTATTCCAAAAATAATAATAAAAAAAAGATGAGAAAAGCTCTTCTCAAACACTCCTAAGTGGAAACATTTTATTTGAACCCAAAAAATATCTTTAGTACACCAATTCAAATTCAATTTTAATTTCTATTATATCCTAATGTGAATTTATTAATAAAGACAACACATATTAAACTCTAAAATATTTTTTTTTCTCATGGTACACCGTAATCAATTATTTCTATTCAAATCTGTGAATTTTCTTCCCTAAGAGATCAAAGTTATTTTCTCTTTTTCTTCTTCTAAAGTTTGAACAAAATTAAATAATAAATGAAAGTGATAATTAAAATAATTTTTTAAAATAACCGATCAAAAAAGAAGTAAATATTCATATAAAAATCAAAATATAATTATTAATTTATGCAGCTCTCTTTTGTTTCTTACTACAAAATCAATTCTTATCCAATTCGAGGGGGGCAATACTTTTGTAAAGTACTTAATAGAAATTTCTTTCTCTGGCAATAGCATATGCATGTTTTTTGTTTGCGTGTATTGTTTATAGGTTTTATTAGTGTTTTTTCTCCACATGGGCTCTTTATAATTTTTGTTTTGTTTTAGGTTTTATTGTGTTTTTACTCCACATGGGCTCTTTATAATTTTTGTTTTGTTTTAGGTTTTATTAGTGTTTTTTCTCCACATGGGCTCTTTATAATTTTTGTTTTGTTTTGTTTTTTTTTTTGGGTACCTCGGAGATTGTAGCTAGGGAAGTGGGACTCATACCCTCGACTCCCATTCTGGCGTAAATTATTATTATATGAGAAAATATATTTTTTTTGTCTGATATTTTAGGATTTAGAAAATGAGTTAGAGCACTAATTAATACTATCACTAATGATGTGGCAGTGAGCTCCACTAGAAATGATATGATGTTTTAGTCTTGGTGTTGTATTTTTTTTCTTTTTTTATTGAGTGCCATGTCATTAGTAGTCTTTTTAAAGCTCCAAAATTAGTAGTTTCTATCATTGTTGCTCAAGGGCAATTTGAAAAAGAAGAATGTATTTAGAAGTTAAAAGTACTTAATCATTTTTTGGGTGTAAATAGAATCCCCTTAAGTGTAATAAGATAATAGTTCAAAATTGTTAACTGTTAAATTTTAAAATTTAAAGAGACAAAGTGTAAAATGAGTCATATTTAAGAAGATTTATTATAATTTATTTATTTATATTTTTTTTGGTCACAAAAATTGGTACAAAATGGATATGTAGGCAAATTATTCCATTTATCCATTAGCATCGCACAATAATTTACGGCACAGGAAAGTTTATTGCACCTATGTCAAAACTGAAGATAAGGTCTGTGTTTTAAGAATTGACTAAAGATAATCTCAGTAAACGACTATAAAGACTCAAATTAAGTATACATATATAATATATTTAAAATACAGTCATATTTAATGATAATTAATAGGGGATTACTTTTAATTCACTTAATTCTCATGTAATTTTTACAATAATCATAATTATCCTCCACCGATAGCCCAATACAGATATTTCTAAATAGATATTCAATCTCAAGACAGATAATTTATTCAAAATTTCACAGGTGAGAGGTAATGCATATCCACCATTCACGAATATGTTCATCTAATTTCACATTTTTAATACCAATTCTATTTATTTGTACAAAATAAATATTTGAAACATTTTAGGGCAAACTCCCCTCTTTCCCAAACATCAACCCAATTGCCAAAATCGACTATTTTGCCATAATAAATGTAACGATCCCAGTTTTGCCACTTCGCCGAGTATATCGAGGGTCGAGCTACCGGGTCAGCTTGCGGGGGTCCAGGGGGCAGCGCCCCTTGGCGGGTCTAAGGGTAGCGCCCTGGCCGGGGTCGAGCTACCCGGTTAGCTCACGGGAGTCCAGGGGCAGTGCTGTGGCGGGGTTGAGGGGCAGCGCCCCCAAAACAAAAATGCAAAATGCATTCGAAGTTGCTTGTCCGCTGGAGCAGGAGAGCAAGCCGCATGTGCGGATTTCAGGGGAGAGCACAGCTTGCACACTGCTAAAAAGGCAGGTGCGGGAGTGAGGTGCGGTGGGTTGGTGAGATCCGAATTTTTTTCCTTTTTCTTCTCTCTTTGGACTGAAGTTGAATCACTTTTGTATATCTCTCTCTCTAAAAACATTTCCTCTTCATTCTCTCTACATTTCCTACCAAAAACCTCACAAGATCTTTGATTTCTTCAAATCCTTTGGGATTTGGACCTAAGTTCTTCATCAAAGTTGGTTAACTCCTCGAGGGCTTCGTTGTGTGCGGTGAAGATCGAGTTTGGACACCGTTGATTTTGAGGGTTTCATCTCATTTCTTCTTCAAAACTTGAGGTAGGAATTTTCTTAGAGTTATATATATATTTTTGCAAGATCTAGATGATTTTTGAAATCATCATTCGATAGCTTTGAAGATTGATTGTTAATTCAAGAAGTTGAGCGATTTTGAAAGTGAGTTTGTCTTTTGTTCTTTTAAAATGATCTTATGGGTTTTGATCTTCGTTGATTGAAGAAAAGATAATTTTGGAAAGTTTTCTTTCAAAAGATTTGAGTTATATAGTTTTGGTGAGAAAACCTAGAATTTGTGAATTTTTTTTAAGAGATTGAAAATTCATGAATGATATTGTTATATTTATTGTGTGTCAAAATAAATGGATGTTTGGAAAATTTATTATTTATATTTATATAAATAATGAATTTCAGGGAATATGAGAATTGTTGTTCATTTTAGAAATTATTGTTCAAAACGTTGAAATAGTCTTGAAATGACTAATTGTTGAGGATACTTAAGAAGAGGGAATTGTGTTATTCCCTGGATGATGAATTAGAATAAAAGAATTTATATTCATCTTGTGTTATTGGCATATCAATTCATTTGATTACATTAAACTTTGAAAGTTGATTTGAAAACTTGCATTGAGAAAAGAATGTTGAGAAACAAGTTTTCATGGAATG